GTCCTTTCTTTGGTTGTTGGTCTTTAGACGCGTGTTCCCATACCAAAATCCTTACATACTTTGGGATTCACCTCATCAGACTGGGACTGTCCTTGGCATGATTTCGAATAGGACGTTTCTCTCTTTTCTCCCATATTCTCCTGTTACACTTTCGCATTCATCGCTTGTACTCACTTTTTGTTTGTGACCATGCTCTTCAAAAATACATGATAATAATCAACAACAGATAAATAGATAGATAGATAGATAATAATAGATAATAAATAACAACAGATGACTGCACGAAGTGATCAGCCAACAAAACTAGCGGTAACACGGCGAAAAATTTAGAGAGTACTGTTTAACTGAAGTTAGCTAGAGTAATTATTACTAGTCGTCGTTAGGCTAATTAGCGTGAAGTGTGGTGACAGATTTAGATCAAAAGGCGTCCCGATGTCAGTGGCGTTCTTGTTGTCCGTTTCTATTCAGATCGCCTGAATGGTAGGCACCTCGGAATGATTGTAGTAAGCTAGCACTAAGTCCCTTCCCCATCCACCTTTATTCTTGTCTTTACAACAAGGCTTTCAAATAAATCATGGTTGTGCGACCGCGAAGCATGGATGTTGAACACTGATGTCATGCTGCTGCTAATGATGGTGCTGGTGATGAAGTAACGGTTTGCAACTTAGTTTCCGCTGAAACAGAAGACATATCAATCCTCTTATATTCCTGTAGTTGAGGCTACTTAAGCTATGACAAGTCCACTATTTCCCGGATGTTGATGCCCCGGAAGGAAGCAACTAGAAGGACTTCATCTGAAGCAGCTTAGGATTTGATCGGGACCAATGACTAGGATTTCTGTCATACGCGCTATGCAAATATTTCATAGCTCGATGGCCAGGGTAGAAAGACAAAGAGGTCTAACTTCTAATACACATTAGCCGACGAAGATACAGCTTGAACCACTTTGGATTTCGTTTCTGACTACTTAAAAGCTGAAGCACTACCGAAGTACTCGCTGAACATGTCCACTAGAATGAAGAAACGAATCGGTTGCCAAGATCACTGAACAGACCGAGAACTAATGGGACCATCCAAGCCACCAATATTTCCACAGTTTTACCTTCATTGTTGACACGACACATGTATCGGTCGTCGACTATGCCCAATGGCCATTTGGATCCAAAACAAAGATTGGAGCGAACTGCTCCCCCAAGATACAGAGTAATATGGCGGTTGGTACGACCAAGACCGACGTTGATTAACTGAAACTTTGTGATATAAAAAACACATTACAGAACTAGATGCCGATCACTATTGCAGGGTAACATCAACGTCACATATACCGGAAGTCGACTTGTCCTGACTCAGAAGGCAACTGCTGTTACCCAACGGTAGCAAGTTCGGCTTGGGAGTTAAAGTAAGTTGTGTTCCGGGACCAATGCTTGAAAGAATGCTGTGAACCAAACCTGTCAAGAAGGTCAGAGGCTCAAAAATAACCCCAAGTCAGTCTCCCTAAATTACTAGGAACTGCCAGCTTGGCTAAAATCGCTTTCGAAAGGCCGCTGAGTCTTCCAAACAGGAAATGTAAATACCAATTGAACGTTCATGTAGCCGATCAGCAAAGATGGCTCAGTGGTTAGGGCAGGATTTTACTTGACTTGAAGGTCCGTGGTTCGAACCAGACCTCTGCCTCTCGACTTAACCTGCCTACGCTTGGGCAACCTGACAGTATCCTAGCCTTCGTGCTTCCTTCGGGTGGCAAAACAGTAAGGCACCGAAAGGGTGCTACAGTTGAATGATTTTTTCCAGCAAAGAACGAAAACACTCGAGTGTCCAAGCATATCCTAAAAGCGATGCCAACCAAACATTCGATGCCGACGAGACGGTTTGGATTCAAGCTTACAATCCAAGAAGTTCCCCATAATTTTTCACTCTTGACGGGTGAGTCTTCCCGTTACTAATATTCTGGAGCCAGGGTTTACCGTTAGCTTAAGTGCATATGGATGGAGATGAAAGACAGACTTGACCTCTAATCACGGGCATTGTTGTGAGCCTCATAGGCTGCATCCATTGTCGTATCAGTTGTTGCAAAATGAAAAAGATTGACATCGGTTGTACGACACTCTGATGCCTAGCCCAATTGGGGGAAATCAGAAACCAGGGACTGCAGAGCATTCGTCATTTCCATTTACGTTCAAAGCTAATGAAAATAAAAACGTAGAGTGAGCTTCTACAAGAGTCATAATCGTAAGAAACGAAATTCATTGACAAGTGGATAATCCACAGAAGCACATTATACCTGTGTCGAAAACTTCATCTTCCGCAAAGTCTAACAAGGTTGCTCTTCCTACTTACTTGCGGGGCTTTGAATCGCAATCGACACCCATAGTATTCAGTAATATCGGACCTGAAACGGACATGAAAAACGCCAGAAGTGACAGTCGTCCTATGATCTATTCAATAGGATTGTTCAGTTAAATTGACTATCTTTGGGGTCCCCAGTAAAGCCATCAGAAGTAGACCATTCGCACACAGTTGAATCACTGATCCAAATAAGCATAAACCAAATGGCGATCACATCCAGTGAAAAAAAACAAGGTAAAAACACATGGATACACGAACAAAACCTGGGAGGAAGGGCTTCTGAAATTAGTCTATTGATTTGACATATGCAGCCGTGCAGGGGATAACGAAATGTTACCACAACCAGAGATTTCACAACCTGAAGTGCCACCAAGCAAATTTTCCACCCTGGTACAGTGGTAACGGTTTTCATAGCTCTAACCCACCAGAGCGATTGGTCACGAAATACAGGGAGCGAAATAGTCTAAATATCGCCGCGCTGCCCACACCTGCAAAGTATTATTCGGGTCACGGGACAGCTTAGGATGTGGAGCACGTAAACTTCCTTGATTTCAAACTGATATGCAACTCACATATGCGGCTCCAGTTAAGTTCGCACCAGACTGATGGCGAACGCCGGTGTACTGGGGGGGGGGCAAGATGGACCAAGTGAATAGAGCGCGTATTTACTGACCGAAAGGTCCAAGGTTCGAACCCGACCTCTGCCTCTCGACTTATCCTGTCTAGGCTTGGGCGATCTGGAAGTATCCCAGCTTTCGTGACCCCGTCGTGTGGCAGCGCGCGGTGACGGACTGGTTGATCGATCGGTCGATTGATTGATTGATTGACTGAATGAATGATTGATTGTTGATTGATTGATTGATTGATTGATTGATTGATGTGGCTTACACTCTCCGAGGTACCACATAGACCCTACTCGAAAGTATAAGTCACTAATATATATGCGTGATAGATAAAATGTCATGGCACTAACATGTGAGGATAACAACGACAACTAGATTAACTACTTGCCTGTTTCCTTATGTTTAGTATCAATTCCTTTGTACCGTCAGCTAACCGAACGGTGTCCTATTCATCTGCGAAATTACGCCAATATGCTCCAGCTCTTTGTATGAACAAAGATCTGCTCACTTACAGATTCGGGACTATTACGTTCAGATTACGTAGGCGACCTGACGAACACTTGCTATTGGAGCTTTTTGGGAGACTTCAGTGATATCCGATCGTCCTTTCACCCTCAGATGTGGAAGCGAGATGGCTCAGTGGTTAGATCGCGAATTTACTGACTGGAGAGCCCGTGGTTCGAATTCAGCCTACGCATCTCGACTTCTCCTGTCTAGGCCTTCGTGGTTCCTTCGGGTGGAATGGCGGCCGGGCATCGGAGGGTGTTACAGCTGAGTGATTTTTCAGCGGTGCACAATCCACGATCTCCAAGGCCACCTTCATTCCCAAACACTCCTCTGGCTTCTCACTAGTTCACAGTCATCTGCCGGAAACAGGCCTTCTGACCTCTCTTCGGAGGTAATGTGTAAGGTCCAGCAGCAGTGTACCAAGCCGTCGAAACATCGGATGAAACACCCCATTTCAGACGCAACTTTCAACAAAAATTTTTAATGGTGTTCAGTCGATTCCCCTGGTACGGTGGCGAACGGACATTTGTGATCGCCTTTCAGCGACGGACTTCTCGGAATCAACTTGAGGTGAACTGTGATCAATTATCTAGTACTAGTAGGTCATGTAGATTAAAGATCTCAAGGCTCGCAGGGTGCTGGTTGTCGTTGGCGGGACAATTGGCACAACTTATTACTTACTCATTTACTTATTTGAGAAAGCGGTGACCAAGACTAGGTAGGTTACTCCATCAATATGGCCAGCGTAGTCAACATGCGCCCAGGATCAGGGTTGCTAGGGTCAAGGCCAGGCAGTAGGCGGAAGGCGCGGGGAATTCCTTGCAGCTTGTTGACATTGCGAGCAGCCTCTGATATAGTTTGAGATGTTTCTATCCATGTGTGGCCAGTAAGCAAAGCTACGGGCGATTGCTTTCACCCGGTTAATCCTAGGATGCCCCGAATGAAACTGCTTCGGGACCCGAAGACGTGAGGAGCGTGGCACCACAACACGTTTTCCGAAGAGGAGGCAGTCACCCAACGATAAACAGGGAATACCGATGATGGAAAAGAGATTGGAGATCGTCGTGCAGGGATGTGGTCGGATAAGGTATCCTGAGAAAATGGATCGCCTGTTGAAGTGCAGGATCAACCTAAGTTCCACGCTGGATATCTAAGACAGATACGGGTAAGTCACGGATGGGCAGCTGTTGGCTGGTGTGAGCATCGGTAGACAGGGCAGCGATGACACAGTCCTCTTTCGGAGCAGTATGATTGCCGATAAGACGCAAGAGTGCATATGTTTGACCGAAATTCTCCGTACGGCAATACTCAATGTCGAAATTGTAACCAAGTAGGGTGAGTTCCCAACGTTGCAGACGATTCACCGAATGAGCGGGAACGCCAGATTTTGGGTCAGAAATGCACAGCAAGTGTGTGATCAGTCGAAAGGTGAACTGACGGCCGTAGATGATCTTTTAGAAGGGGTAGACCACAAGGACTAGCGCGGATGCCTCATTCCCACTTTGACTATAGTATGGCCCCACAGGAGTTAGCGACCTGGGTGCATGGACGACCGCCTTCTCAGTCCCGTCCGGGAATACATGAAAAATGACAGCACCGACACCTTAGGCGAGCGCATCAGCTGCCAGGGCAATCGGTAGTTTGGGATCGTAGTGCGTCAATAGCAGTTCGGAGCTGAGCATGGACTTGAGTTGGTAGAAGGCGACTTCACAATTTTCTGAACAAACGCAAGGTACATATTTTTAGGAGGCGATTAAGCAGTGGCCAGACACTGCAGTGCAGGCAGAAATGCTGAACAGTAGCCGATGAGACCCAAGAAGGAGCGGAGAGTAGAAACATCCTTGGGGCCGCGTCTGTTGAATTGCCCGTGCGTTATCGGGATCGGAACGTCGAACAAAGGCATCAAAACTGAACGCGAGATACTTAACGGTCATTATGAAGAACCGATAATTTTTAGGATGGAGGCGGCGTCCGTTGTGCTGGACAGGTTTACGCACCATATTGATTCGCATGCGCAGCTCATCGAGACAGCCGGTAACAATGAACACCTCATCCAGGCTTACGGACACACCTGGAATGCCAGACAGCATTGTGGCTATCACGAAGAGACTGGACCTTACCGTGGTGTGACGGTTTGCGCACCTCAGCGATCCATTGAGCTATACTGGAGAGTGTCCCGCGACACTC